AATCATCCACGTGACAAGCAAGGAGTCCCATCACATTGTAGGAGTCACCCAGCCAGTAGAACACTGCTGGATCAACTTGTGACACAGTAGCTCCCAACTGCTGCATAGTGTCTTTCACTCTGTTGTACCAATACAGAGAAGCATCTGCTAGGCCATAAACACACTTTTTAACTTCCATAGAATTCCTTTGCTCTGAGCTTCTTAGGAGGGACGAATATAGACATTTCGGGTTAACTCCTTGCCTTGTAAAAAGGATGCTTTAATGTCCATAGAGTTTAGCTGCCATTTCTTTTGACATATCACTGGCTTAATCAATTTTAGAGACTCCGAGGCACATGTAGGCGAGTCTTTCGGGAGCTCCTGAGTGTTCATTTCTTCAAAGCCTCTTGTAACTAATCTAGCTTTAGGTACAACACCATCAGGTGTCTCCTTGAGTGTGCACACCCACCTCGTAGAGATGCATTTCTGGCCTTCATCTTTCACCTCTTCAAACACATCATTATTTTTCCAGTTGCTGAGTTCACTGTGTTTACTGTGTTTGGCAGACATGAAGGCATCATCATTCACAATAAGTATGTCTTCGTGAGGATGGCTAGCACATAACTCGACATGCTCAGATGGGACCACTTGAAGATTGGGTACTCGTCCTAAGTCAACAGAACCGGTAGTGCCAGACATTTCCTCAGGCTCAATGTACTCCAAATTATAGCAGTATTTGTATGTTTCAGTGGCTTTTCCTGCCCTGTTGAGGATTTTTCCAGTGTGTGCTCGGCCACTCCCACTATCTGTGTATGTAACTACCTGTCCAGTTTTCAGACTAAGGCCGTCACAAGTTGTGGTTGAGTTGTTCTGTGATGCGTCCGATTGACCATGGCTACCTCCTTCTGGCTGTCATGGTGTGTGAGGGGGTTCACTGTTATCCTCACCATTTATAGGCGTCTCTTCCTCACTTTCATTTTCAGTGTCATAGTTATTCTCATTAAAGCCAAGTTCTGGTAATGTTGTATGATGTTCAGTCCCTTCCAGCTGAATGTCCCTTTCTCCCAGCACTGCTTGTGGGCTCTCTACTTTTCGAAGCCTGGAGTGATGTACGCGAACGTGAGTGCCACCATGCCTCACAAATATCGCTGCACGATCTTGGCCAATGACCACACCTGGATCTTTCCATTTTGTACAATCCACCCGTTTGTAGTAGACTTTGTCCCCTGTTTCGTATCGGTCATCAGTGGGCCACAGTTGTTTACGAAGGGCTCTTTGGATGCTTTCAGAGGACTCAGCTTCTGTAAATGCTCTCCTTGCAGCATGTAATGTTGTGATATGCTGGGCTATCCAAGTACTCATATTAGTACCTTCCAGAGCTGGCGGCTTATTAGTGAGAACTGAAGGCAGATTTGGGTTTTGTCCAAATACCAGCTGGTAGGGACTGTAGCCATGCACGTTGTGCATAGAGTTCTTTGCCATCAGGGCCCAGTCTAGGGCCATCCTCCAGTCACATCCATTGTCCCTCTTCACTTTCATCAGGATTTCAGTGAGGGTTTGATTATGCCTTTCCAAAAGCCCATGGGCTGTATGCTGCAGTTGTTTTCACTTCAATGTTGAAGCTTTCAGCCATGTCCCTCATATCTTCGTTGTTGAATTCACCCCAATTGTCACTGAACAGTCTGCGTGGAGGACCATGAACACTTATCCAGCAATGTATAAAGTGCTTCACAATCTCCCTGGGTTTCTTGGTGGCGACGATACTCCCTGCACTGAAGCGTGTGAAGTGGTCAATTGCATGTAGATACCACACTCCCGGCTCTAGCTCATGCAAATCCATAGCTACAGTTTCATTGTAGGTTGAGGCCATGGGCAAACCCACCGCAGGCTTTGGCTTGCTATATCTGATGCACGTCTCAGTTTTTTACAATGTCCTTAAGGATTGTGGTGCATTCATCATCAGCATTACCTGTGCAGGCCAGTAGTTTTTTCAGTCTGTCAACAGAGGCGTGTCCAAATTGCTTGTGAAACTTTCTGTTTTTCGTTTGTTGTCATGTTTTCTGTCACAGTGAGAATGTCATCCTCATTCTGGAGCTCATGTTCATCTGGGTTACTCTCATCTCTGATCTTCACACAGTAACGTCCTGAAGATGTTAGTTCAAGTTTCACTGGCTGTTTAAACATTGTGGCTTTGTCATTTTCAATGTCTAAAACAGCACCTGCTCTTTTCAGTGAAGTTTTGCTTAAAAGCAATGGGATATCTACTGGGACCACCTCTGTTTCAATTTGACATCTAGTCTGTCCTATCATGGCTGGGATTTTCACTTTCTTTGTAGAATGAAAACTCTCCCGTCACCAAACTTGAATGCTCTTACTCTTTGTGTCCCCCATTTTCAATAACTCACATTGTGTTAGTCCACTGATGTAATGATCAAGCCATTTTTCTCCGCACATAGTTCTAGTGCAAGCTGTGTCAATGACAGCTGATCCTAGAGACTCCATGAATATCTCTGTCAGACAATGATTCTTTTGACAACAAAGTAATGTTGCATTCTTCAACATCTGTCACTTTTTCATCCTCTGTTAATTTTGCATGTTCATTTTTGTGAGGACAACCCTTTGTCCAGTGATATGTGCTTTGGCAGACTGCACATCTTGATCTTCTCCCATATCTGTCAAGTGGATTCGTCCCTTGAACAGCCATATGGATCTGTGGGCTTGACCTGACATTACTTTCAGGCTTGCCGGTAAACAGTGTGTAGTAGGCAGAGTCGGCAGTACCCCCACACACACAGAGTTCATTAGCTCCCTCTTGTGGAGAACTATCACCAAAGATTCTCTTCAAGGCTGACTTCATGTTTACAAACGAAAGGTTTGGACATGCGGTAAGTGCTAATTGTTTGTCTTTAACATTAAGTCCTGCAGTATCAAGTAGCTTGAAAGCTAACACAGCATCTGGAAGCTCCATCTTGAACTTACGTATTCTGTTGTACCGGCGCTCAAACTCGACAATGTAATCGACCATGGAGACGCCATTTTCTCTTGTGATCCGGTCAAACTCTGTGTACGCCTCGTACTGGCGATCCTTTTCCTCTTTCAAAAACACAGCGTCCAATTACGTGAGAAGTATATTCATTCCTTCATCGTCGTTCAAATCCACTGCGGCAATTTCTAGTGCACAATCCCTCGCTCATCCCGTCAGCGATAAAGCGACCGCCAAGGCCTGCTTCTTCTCCTCGGGGTCCGTCACCAGCCTCCAAATTTCAACCTCATTTTTCAAGCTCTCGTAAGACTTCTCGTCAAACGGCGGCGGAACTTTGTAATTGCCAGCCGCCATCCTCTGTTACCATGTTAATTCAATAATTCCTGCGACAACTGTACATGATTAAGACTTTACTTAAAACGTATGCACGACATCAACAACAATGGCTACACGTCTTCCGTTCCTCTAGAACTAAAAGCGTTACACACATGCGCACTAGTTAACTCAGTACTTAACACTAATTACTCTTGCATGTTTTGTGACCGTCAGCCCTACGGCACATTATGGACAGTGTCCTGTACTGGTCCCGATTGTCCTCTACTACTGTTCATCTCATTTTAATCAATAGACTAAACCAGTAGCTTTGTATTTCAAGAACACAATTTATGATCAGAGATCCTTGATTAACATCAGCCTTGCTCTAAAGCCCATTCATACATAGCATGTACAACTTACTCATGCTGTCTGCGAATCTCCTCTATGTCTGCATTTTCGGTGTTGTTGTTGGCCTTGCGAGCTTTGTCAAGCTCCTTCTCCAACTCTGTCCGGTGGGCGTTTTTCATCGCTTCAATTGCTAGAACAACAAAAAAGCTATATTAAGTACAAGAAACGTTCATAATGTATTCTATAATCTTATTACCAATGTAGTGTAAGCAAATAAGGGAACACATTGGAAATCACAGTGATAAATGAACACAATAGCAGCTTTGTGCTATCTCTGGTTTCTGGATTTAGAATAATATTTACCAGCGATGGTGGCTGCTGTCTCCTCTGCCAGCAGTCGCTCTTTCTCCTCCTGCAGGTTCTCCAACTCTCTCTGGTGTTTCCTCTGCAGCTCATCTACTACCTTCTGATGGGAATCTTCCATGGCAGCAAAGCCCCTCTCACAGGTGGCCTATGAGATAGGAAAACGACTGAGTTCATGGGCCTTCTGGACATGGACCAAAAGGTTCTCCTGACCATGTAAGCCAAGCAGGAACAAACCCTGGGCCCTACAATATAAGCCAGCGCACATCACCATCGGCATTCATTTCCAGCAAATAACTTGTAAGCTACAGCCTGTTAGCAATGAGAAAGTGGAGCCTGTGTGAGTACGACAGGATGCATAACGCACTGAAGGAATGCACAGATAATGAGAGAAGAGGGGGTAACATAGTGTGCGCTGACATATCCTACCTACAGAAAAACATTCACTGATGATGCTTATAAAATCCTCGTTAAATAATGGCTGGAGCCTTCAGCTAATGTGCAAATCCTATCCAAAGGCTTTCCACAAGCCCAACCAAAGAGCTCATCGTGCTTCCGGCCTCTATTCACTGCCACTAATCTGAGGGCTCAGTTGACGGCTGTGCCCTGGCCTCTGTCCCAATCTAGCTCCAGCCAAACAGCAGAAATGGAGGTCCAGTGTGTTTTCACAGGGATAAAGCCCCCTGAGAGCTCAGGCCCAGGAAGCTACTGTAACAGGCGGAAAGCAAACAAACATCCTGCTCTGACATCAGACCACGCACATGCTTTATTTAGAAGCATGTCAGGCTTTGCATCTTGTGTGTAAATATATCCTGGGTCATAGCGGGGGCATGGACTCAATACTCAGTGCAGAGTATTAGTTAGCTCAGACAGAAGATGAATATCTGAGCATCCAACACACTGTTTAACACCCATCACAAGTACAAAGTCACCACTTTATCTCCAAACGAAGCGGACAACTGACAATTCACTGCTCCGAGTCAATAAACAGCAGACACTATATGTCAAGACAAATTTACTTCGGGACAATAAAGTCCATCTTATCTTAATTATATTGTCTAAACTTTTATTTCTGGGATTTGATTCATGGATACTTTCCAACCTGGACTCAGACATTTTTACTATTCCTATTACAATCTCATAAGAATCTATGAGATTAATGTAAATGAACCTTCACCTAACAAACTAGAAATAGCCTTGTATTTAAGCCTGAGCCTTGACAAAAACTAAACAAACCAAAAACACTATACATTCCTGACCAGTTTTTACAGATTAATGTTTTATGTAGGAACCAATGGGCGTTAGGCGGAAAGACACAGACGGGGGAGGAAGAGAGGAAGTAGGAACACACTGGAGGACTATCCAGTGTGTTCCACAATTAAACCTTGACAGGTTTTCAAGGCATTTTCTGACGTTGACTCTCCGTTAGTTGTCTACAACGCGTCACCGGTCACTTTCTTGAATACTTGGAATCTGTACTTAATGTACTTACACCAGATCAGAACTCAGCTTGTCCGTATGTGTGCTCAGACTTGATACGTCAATGCAACCTGCCTGATTGCATAGTGATCCGATATATTTCTTAGTCAAAGGAGCGGCTGTAAAACTGTGGATGAACACATTTCATTCCCTATAAATTCTTCACAACAAAAGTCGTTCTGTTTGCGCTGCCTCCCTGCAGTATTTGTATACTTGTTTGATTAAAGAATAGCTGCTCACAAATCTCCACTAACTTTCTGATAAACACATTTCGAATAAATTCTTCACAATAAAAGTCCCCCATTATTTTGTTATGTAAACAATTTTACTTTGAAGCAGCAAAATCCAGAAATGTTGGGATTCATCAAGAGTAACTTAACAGGAAGCAGAGAGCGGGTAAACACACATTGTTGTTTTTGGTCTTTTCATTTTGTTGACAGTAAGAAAAATACCAGCCTTATCCTTTAAATACACAAAATGAGCCCTATGTGTATTTCAGTTAGTATGGTGAACTAAACCTTTATTATGACAAAAGGTACAAAAGCCTACACTTACATATTTGTTCATGTCCTTGTGACTAGTAGTTTTACTAAATAGTCGAGGTCTGCTCAATAGCTTTTTCCAGATATTTCACAACCTCCACCAGCAAATTAAGTTGTTTTAATGGAGTTGTACCATACAAGTTCCATACTTGGATCACATCTCCACAACTGAGACCACAACTCAATTTGCTGCTGATGATTGCCAGATGCAGTTGACAGCTTACTAGAAAACGCCAGTAAGTAGACCCTGAGTTAAAATGACTTGTTCAAATAATTGAACTGTTATTCAGGGAATATAGGGATTAAGATTAAACTGTTAGGAGAAACAGCCAAAGGAAAAGAGACCAAACTCGTAAAAACTAAGCTCATAGCTGAAATAATTTGAAATAAGTGTTAAAAGGGATAAATTCTTTGCTTTTAACCATTTTAAATGCAGCATAGCTGAGTCAAAGGGTTAGATTAATAAGCACATTGAACTACGACCAGAGGAACTGATTTCAGAGGCTGATATGATGATGTAGTGGTTTTTTTTTTGTGTTTAATTGAATTTAATGTTCCAGTTACTCAAAGTTCTACAACTGATGGCACTTTAACAAAGTGGGTTCCTCAGTATACACGACTACTGCAGCGTCAATGATCACATAAACCTAGAGCAGGTTAGTCTTCATGCAACACAGAAGAAAAGTAGTTCACAGAACAAAGAGCAGAAGTAGGGTGAGCGGGATTAGGAAGGGGAGAGCGAGTTTGGGAAGGAAGGGGGATCTGGGAATGCCACAAAGGAACACAAGGCATCACAGATGGAGGACAGCAAGGACAAGGAGCGCTTCCACCTTCAGGTTTTCCAGGTCTTTCTCGTATTTCAGCCGCAGAGTCGTAATGTCTTCCTGCTCTTTGCGGCGTCTCATCTCTTGGGTCATGACTGAGACCTGGGTGACCAGCTCTTGAATGCGCTCCTTCAAGGTGGATGTTTGGCGATGCGGCGGAGTGTCCTCGTCTGTAAAGTTCTTGTCTGGGTTTGCCAGACTCATCATGCGTCTCAGCTCTTCCATTTCCTGGTCAAACCTCTCCATGAGGTTTGTCCTCTCAGTCTCGTACTTCTTCTTCAGGTTCTCCATGAAGTTAGTCAGAGAGTCAATTTCTTTCACATTTTCTTCTGAGAGGACACGCAATGCTTCACCAGCCTTAACGATTTCCTTCCTCAACTGTTCAGCTTCCTGCTCGTAGCAGTCTTTAACCTCTCGTAGTTCCTTTCTATGCCTGGCTATCATGTCATGAAGCTCAATGGATTTGTCCAGTGAGTCTATGGGCTCTCCTTCAATCTGGACCAAAGTTTGTGGCCCTGCGGTGCTTTTCAAAGAAGCCTCATATGGTTGACAATGAAGATCTGCCAGTTTGGACTCCAGATCTCTCGTGGATTCTCTCAACTGAGGACAATTTGGACAATCCAAACTATCAATCTGAACCTCTGTCTGCATTTCCTTTAATTCTTTCTCATGTTGGACTTTCATCCTAGTGATCACATAAGACATTTTGGCTTCTGTTAGAGCTTCACACAGATGTTGAGAGGACTGTTTCTGATCTCCATCAAAATCAAAGCTTGTTAGAGCCAAAGACACAAGCTGGTCATCTTTGTCCAATTTCACATTGGATGCTAAATGCTTTAAAACATTTGACTTGGCCTCCAAGGTCTCCATTAACTCTTTAAGAATCAGAGCATGTGTTTCATTATCAAGCCATCTGTACATGGCTGCAAAATCTGGCTCTGTCATTAGCTCGATCTCAGCTTTTGCTTGTGGACAAATCCTTCTAGTCAGGAGCATCAAGCGCTTCAGTGCCATCATCTGTTGCGCCACACCTCTTTCACAGCTGTCTGTGTTCTCCTCTGGTTGGATTTCAGAGAAACCCAGAAGCTGGCTCCAGAACTCTCCCTCCATTACCAACCTCATGTCTTGCTGACTCACACAGAGTGGCTCTTCTTTTGAATAACCAAATAAAGTGCTTTTTAAATCACAGAGCGTTTTCTCTACACTAATATCTACCTTTGATAACATCTCTAAAACCTGATCAATCGCCTCAGACTTCATCTCAATCTCTTTTACTACTACTTGCTTTATAAGTCCTTTATCATCAACCTGCTTCTCTCCTGCCTCAACACACTCGCTAAGTGTGTTTTCAACTCTACCCGTCTTCTCTTGTAGCATTCTTATTTTGTTTTCTGCTTCTCTTAGCTCCTCTATACTGACTTTCTCAGATTCCTGGTTTAGTGTGATTAGTTCACTATTCCTGGCTTCAAGTTCCAAAGAGCACAGCTCTTTAGACTTAAGGTTTGCTTCCATCTCAAATAACTTTGCTTTTGAGACTTGGAGGAGCTCTTTTTCTTGCTCTCTCTCGAGGTGTAAGTCCTCTTCCTCATAATCAGCGTGGAAGCCCAGACCTTTCAACTTGGCCTCTTTCAATTGTAGCTTCTTCTCAGTGTCTTTGAGGGTGTTGCCAAGCTCCTCCAACGTAATCAGAGCTTCATGAAGCCTCAAGGATTTCTCATTCAGCTCCCTCTCGTAATACTCCCTGTCAATAGTGTTTGCTTGGTTTTCAGCCAATTCAGCTTTCAGTCTTTTCAGCTCTTCCATGACCAGGTGATGCTGTTTGCCGCCCTGCTGAACGATCAGCTCCACTTTCAGTCTGTCAATTTCCCTATCAGCCTCAGTCAGCTGATTAACTATCTCCTGACACCGTTGTTTCAATGCCCTGTTTTCACTAGTCAAAAGTTCAATCCTCTGAGAGAACATCCCATTCGTGATCTCATTTGTATCTGAATGGTTATCAATTTCTGAGAGGGGGCCATAGGGGCTTTTTAGGCTTTCAAAACTTGGCTTTTGAACCTTGCCCACCAAATCCTCCATGCTAAGAAGACGGGCTTCGTACTCACGGATGCTTTCTCCTGCCTTGGCTAAACTCTTTTTTAATGTTTCATTTTCTATCTCCTGCTGGTACTTCCAACTCTTCAAGAGCTTCTGAAGTTGATGCGTCTCTGCTGTCTCTTGATTACAGCTATGGAATCTCAACAATTTTGCAAGCTCAGTTAGGGAAAGAGGTTTACCAGCTAACGAGTCTTCTAGTTCTTGAATTGCCTCTGCGCTGTCCTGGAACAAGAAGCTAACTGTTTTTTGAACAACTTCAGGGGGAGGGCCTTCCACAATTGATGGTTTTGGGGGTTCAGAAAAGTAAGGTTCCTTGATGGGTAGGTGAGAATGCGAGAGGCCAAGCTGTGCCTGCATGTTACGCTTTTTCAGCTCTTGCAGCTTCAGAAGCTCTTTCGTCTCCTGGTACTTCTTTGTTAAACTCTGCGCTTGAGAACTAACCAGTTCGGGCCTCTTCGTCTGGGGCGCAGCCTCCAGACCCAAAGGGTGCTCCAGCTTTGAAAAGGGGACCAGACAGTTGGTTAACACACAGCAGGGGAGACATAAAGCTTGCTAATCATTTTCAGCATGAAGTATTTCCCCCATTCAAAAAGTGACATTACAAAAAGATTTCCCACGCAATACCGAACTGCGTACATTAACACTGATTCAAAACAAAATCAAGATTCCCTTGTTTTAATGGTGTAAATTGAAAGCAAAGGAAAGAGATTAACTGGCCATGTTAGTTAATCACGACAGAGCATGCACATTAAATGGTTAAAAGTGACTTAATGTGGTAAGTAATGCAATATTAGTTTCAGCTAGATGGTTTACTTAGGGATGGAAGGCATACCAGGTCCTACAAACACATTTCTGAGGTTCTCTGGTCCAAGCTCATGTGTCACCAAAGCAAATCTATTCTGAGTGGAGATAGTGAATAGTATTATTCGACTTAAATCAAATGTCCAAATATATTTTCAAATGCACTCCATAATTCATTACAAGTGTTCTATTTCCCAAACAAAAAGCAAGACAAAAATTGCATAAACTATAATCTATAATCACAGCAGAGCCTAGCTTGAACTCAACCATAACCAACTGTATAAGCTATAAAATTAATCATTCAGCCTCAAAAACATCCATACATCCACACACAAGCACAGAAATTCAGCACACATGTTGCCAATACATAGCTTCAGTATATACAATCACATTGTTAACAGAACAACAAATGGTGGGTCTGTATAGCAGTTAATAGAAGATGAGAATCTGACGCCCATGCAAATACTTAGAAAACAAGCCAAGAGGTTATTATTCATACATGTTGAGCCAAACATTTTAGCAAGTACCAGTGACCATGGAGGTTAGTATCACTCTAAATTGAAATTAAAAAAATTAAGTGAACAATACAACAAAGTACAACAAAAAATAAGGCTATAAATATTACCAAGATTATTTCAAATGTATATGATAAAACTTTAATTTATAGATTATTAAACATAAGAACCTTAAATAGAACTTGATAATCTGTAAATTACAATTTTTTCTTTCTTTTTTTTTTCTTTTAAGAAATACAAAATACGTTTTTTTCTCTTTCACTCCATTTCCCATTAGCACCTTTCCATTTAATTTTCTTAATTTGAACTGTATGTAAAGAAGGGAACACGGTTGTCACATGACAAGTGTGTTTCTATTCACATTTTGAATTAGAATTGAAACTGTAGTGGAATAAACACAAATAAAAGAAGTCAAAATACTGTAAGAAGTTTTTAGGCTTGGCTTAGGTGGAAAGGTTGGTGTATAAATGTAAATAAGAAGTGACTAAGTGCAATGGAAACATTATTCCTAGCAGTTGATTTTAAATCTATTTTAATTGTCTTTTTTGTTTAGAGTGAAATAATCCTCAGAAAGTCACATCATCAACCACACTTGAGTTCCTTGGACCATAATCAATGCAATAACAGTCAAATCATTGCTAGCATGAGTTCAGATACAGTGCAGACTTATAATACAGAGATAGGAGATTAACTAGTAGAAGCCAATGTCGTAATAAGATCTCAATGTTGTTTTACATGCAATGAACTCATGCAAAGGCACATCTCTGTAGCCATGTCGCTGCTTTGATGTCAGTTTGTTTGATGTTTTCTTACAATAAAATACAACATGCAAAGAATGTTACAACATCGAGAAGAAAACGCTGCTCAAATGAGAATATACGCGTGTAATCTACAACAGGATTTTCCCATCATAGCAGAGTATGCACACTGAAGACAGAGACTTAGAACTCACCGGAGAGATGTAACCTGTCCTGATATCCGGAGCCGTCCTCAGCTGGAGCTCCAGCTCCTGCTTGTGCTTGTTTGAGTCAAAGAGCTGCTGGTGACAGCTCTCCAGCTGTGACTTCAGGTCCTCTATCTGCAGGAGAAGCAGGGGACCATTTGGAATAATTAACAATGGTCTTTGTTTAGCCACTGGTGGGATTATGGCCTGAACAATCAATAGTTTTCATATTTAAAAAAAAAAAAAAAAAAAAAAAATCATCATTTGAAAGGGTGAATGTTTTGTAAATTAGTCTTCTGTGAGTTAGCGAAATTATGAAAGTGAAAGTGTGGCTGTGTCCTGGTTAACTGCTCTCTGCATGTTGCTGTTTGTGTATTTGGCCACCGATGTTTTTTGTGAAAGAAGAAGCCCCACTATCAAACTACAAATACGGAATGGGCTGTGTCTCTTAAAGTTCATGAAACACCTACAGACACTTTTTCTACATTAACAATCTAGGTTATCACCTCACGTTCATTTCAGAGAGGAAGCTAGCAGGTAACTTGGTCGCTGACAGACAGCTGACAAAGTATAAAGTTACATGACAAGTTACATAATTTTAAAGAACTGGAACCAACCTAATGTGCTACATTGATGAAGGAAATGTGGCCAAATGTTATATGGGAGAATAGTGAGACTCATTCATTCTATTTCATGTTCTGCTTATTGTTACCATGGTTTGCAACTTGCTGTGTGTGCACTCACTAAAGTTGCTATTAACTTTTACATTACACTTGTTTAAAGTACTGTTATCTGTGCACTTTATTTTATATTCTATTGTACATTTTAATATGTTTCCATTTCTTGCACTGTGTTGATTGTCTAATGTGATGCACCACCCGCCATGACAAATTCCTTGTATGTGAAACTCTGGCAATAAACGGTTCTGATTCTGATAACTAAATAGAATAAACATACCCCTTGCTTGTAATTCTCCAGTAGCTGCTCCAGCTCAACACTGTCTCTGGATTGCAGAGTGCTGGGCAGAGGCACCCTCCTCTCCTCCCGTATGGGTGTCTTCTCCACTTGTTGCCAGTGTTGTTCAATCACCTCCTCTGCCCTCTGCTGCCTCACCACATACGTGGGACCTAATGAAATGGTTTGTCCGACTCCCTCTCCACTCTCAAAGTCTGTTCTCCCTCCTTCGTTAGCAGCTGTTTGCTCCGTTGATGAGCTAGTCACAGACTCATACCTCTTCCTCCTCTCCTCTCTTCTCCGACTGCGCTCCAGCTCACCCAGGTCTGCGTGGAGGCTCTCGGCCTCTTGGGCCCGCTGCTGAGCCAGAGCCTGAGCGATGGGTCTGAACTCGGCCCAGTCAAAGGTCTTAGAGCGGCCTTCTCTTCTGCGTTCACGAGCCCTGCTCTTTGTGACAGCCGGAGTGGATTCTCTCTCCACTGACGAAGCCTCAGTGGAGAGAGAGTCCTGGGTGACGTCTGGCCCAACTAGACCCTCCAAAAGAGAGAAGGAACCATGATCCTCAGTTGAGCTGGAAGGCAGTAAGAAAGGCAGGCAAGTAAGTTTTAGCTTCTAAATGTTCATTAGCCATGTCCTAAAAGTTAATGTCCCTTCTACTCCAAAGTCTATAAAGCAAGTGAAGAAATGCTAATACAGAAATAAGTAAACTTAATTACAGTGACAATGTATTTGCCATTATATCAATGAAATGAGCTGTTAATGTTTCAGTTTTTTTCAATAATCTTGTAAAAGACAAAACATGTGGGGAAAAGTATACAAAACTACTAAGGTATTTTATACAAAAATGTAATGTATTTTTACAATCAGCACTTGAGGTGACTGAGCCAGATGCCAGATGACATGACACTGCTGCCTCCAGCTTAATCATCTTTCCATCTTAAGAGGCTGAATCATCTATCGCAGTTGAAAAGTGTGCGCAGTAGTGCCGACATAGTTGGACTGACCTTGCCACATCAGGGGCAGTGGAGGGTCTGACGTTCTTCATTACTGCCTGGATCCAGTTCCTGCGTATACCTGCTGTCATGGCCGACAGAGTGTGCACTCCCTCCCGAGTCTAAACATTTAAAAGCACCATGACATTTACAATATGATCCTATACCTAATGTGCTACAACTGCCATACATGAAATACTAATTCATTTTAAGGAATTCTGGTTTTGATTAGTCTAAGGATTGGGTGGTCATACCATGAGATTATATACATTTAAGTAGCATCAGAGATTTTGGCAAAGCGTTATTACTAACTACTAACTGTTATTTTACAGTCACATACATACATAAATACATGAAAGGTGACCTATATATTTAACCCTTCCTAAGCATTTAGGAGCAGTTCACTTGGGTTCAGTGTCTCCCTCAAGGACACTTTGATATGCCGACAGGAAGCCCCATTCATAACGCCATTGTGGATTTAGTATTTCATTCACTGAATTAGCTAAAAATTGGCATTTGTATCTGGTTATTTTATCCTTATACAGTTTCTGCAGAACTTCCAGAACATTTACTACATAACAAAATATTAAATCTATATAACGATTTAAAAAGTACAAGTGGCCTTTTTGACTTTTCATGACTGGATATATAATGCAGATATCTGTAATTCCGTTTTTTCAATTAAAAAATAAAATTTCCCAAATCCACAACTTCGTTCTTCCAAGGAAAGATGACGTCCCTTTTGCCATTCGTGTGTATTGCGCTTTCAAATGGAGCATTTTCAGATTAAAACATGTTGATATTATTCAGATATTAGGAGCATTCTTTGGCCATGTATACAGCTCATTCACAGTATGCCTCTCAATAGGGATTTTACTGGACTTTTTGACACACAGCCTCTTTCCTGTTTGTGACCATCTCTGTGCTAGTTTGCAAAGATGGAGGAGAGATGCATGACCCGTCAAACACAGCAGAAAATGGCGTTGAAGTAGGATTCACTGGCCCCGGTGATAAGGATGCGGCATGGGGTCGTTTTACGTTATTATTAGGAATATTTTCTTTTTCGGAGTAAGTGCAAAAAATGTGTTAACGCAGTCATTGTCTTATTTCAAAATGATGTGCGCCTATAAGGAGTACCATCATGCCCACATATTGTCTGTACTGGTCCCCACAGGGCCTGCTGCTGGACGACGCAAGTTCAAGGCATGTTCGTGCACCACGAGGGTCTCTTTTTAAAGCTGCAGTTTGTGTAAACACAGTGGGCCTTTGGCATTTATTAAATGTTTTAATAGTATTTCACTCTCACTTTTGTCACACACACAAAGTCCCAGGTATAGAGCTGCCTGGCTCTGGGAGTACGTGTGCGTGCGTGTGCTATTTGAGAATCAGCCTGGGTGCATGGTAGCAGTGACAACATGATATGTAATTTCATTGATTTGGGAATTCTCTCAGTACGCAAGCGGCAGGGATTTGATAATGAAGCACTGATGCAGTGCTCTGAAAAGAGCACAGAGTGGATAGACCGACGCACTCACGTGGAAGGTTCTAAACTAATCGTTTAAAACTGTGATAAAAAAGCTGCAAGGCCCATCATTTATTTACTTTATTTATAAAGAGGCACCAAAACCTTACAGACTCGTAATGCAACCCAAGTCTAACTAAACTACGGGTTTAGTTAGCAATTAAAACTTCAGAGTCTAAGTATCACAGGACTGTTAAGACCTTTTCTACAGCAGACCTTGCCTATTGAATCTCAATATGTCTAAATGCTTTTTTGTTGTTATTAAAAGGTCAGAGCTATGTGGGAGGAAGACAAAGCACTTTTCTTATATTATAAATGCCTGAAAAACATTTGTCCTTTATGAGAGGCAAAGCTTCTTACATGTATTTGGAAACCATAGTTGCGTTGAGCCTGGTATTCAGTTACACTGTAGCAAGTAGACAGATCAATCTCACCATCCAGGTCAGAGGCCTGAGGTAACACAAAGATGAGACATGGGGCAAACATGAAATAAAACAAAGAACTGTTCAACAGAAATCATACAATAATTATAAAATAGGCTCACCTCCTCTGCAATGGAATCCTTGTAGTATCTCAGGCTGTGATCCGTTAAAACAAACCAGTATTTCTTCCACTACAACGTGGACAGGGAAAAAGGCAAAGACAGGGTTCTCACATCCACAGCATGTTAAGATATATAGAAGAGGTAGTCACATATTGTACATCAGGTCAGTCAATAACCCCTGTGCTACGATGGCACAGAGTATGCCTCTCTCCGTATCACATAAAGATGGATTTTAAAAGGCCTTCAGGCTCCACCCTGGTCTTTAAAGTCCATTGACGACACAACATCAAAGTGTGACCACACCTCTGTGAAGGCCACACAATGCTGCAAACATTCAGGAGTACTTTAAGTGGTTAGTTCAGATGCTGTTTGAACCAGCGTTTCACTCCCTTTTTGATGACCTCATTCTTTTTCATACAGAAACTTTATTTACTGCACTGTGTCAATGTTTCTTGATGATTTGAAGTTAGATACGTTTTAATTTCAGTTTTCCTCAAACAGATTCTACATAAACAAAAAAACAAATAATTATGAATTAAAACATACATTGTACTTGGCACTTTTTACAGACAAAGGCAGATTAACAGTTGATAACGTACCTGGCCTTGCTCATCCAGCTTCACCATCCAACCTTTCTTGAAGTTCAGTAAATCCGGCTAAAAAAAGAAAAGATGTTGAAACATCTGTCTGACATATGCACAGACAAAAATGATGGTGCAGTGTCAAACTGTTCATCATGCGAAATGTCATTTTGCCTTGTCATTCTTTTTGAAAGTGCTGCAGTAGATTACCACCACTTACTTTAAAATATCGTAAAATAAAGCAGACCACAAAGTAGCCTGAAACAATTCCTAAATGACACTGGCAATATGTCAAATTCAAGTACTAAATCACATGCTCACTCAGTCAGCTGAGGTAGAATATGACTCTACCAATGGATCAAAGACATTATCTAAATGTGGTCCACTGGTCAGGGGAGACTTTGTCGGCGTGTGCTACTTTAGCTGAGGATGCAGAGCCCAGTGATGTGATTCCACATAGTGGAAGAAACACACACACACACACACGTGAAGGGTGACCTCAGTAAGCAGAGGTAAGTTGTGATATACACTGTCACACACAGACATACAAACACTTGTCTCGCCTCTACGGCCGACAGGAATGCAACAACAAACCACATGACACAGAATGGGTGCAACGAATACACACAGAGGGAGCCGAATGAGGAGTATAACCCATAGAGGAGAGGAGGGGGCTGCACTGCCGCCCGCAGCATGGAGGTTTGTCTACAACATCAACATCCTCGCACCACCACACCATGGCCAATGAAACGTTAGGAAAACTCACAAAGCTGCAGTACATAGCTATGTCTTTAGCTATTTTCCCCAGTAAAACGAGGAATACATTGGTTTCTGAGCAGAGCAGTCATGCTGCTGTGGGACGACCACAAAGAACTTTCTTGATTTTTTTATTCTCCTAACTCTGTTACCTAACCAAATGTAGTTTCTCAGTGCCAGTAACAACCCAGCGACCTCTATCCCCACATCTGAAGCCCTGGCACTGATGCTGACCCTGGAGCCTACAGCTTAGCAGAACAGGAGAGTCTCTGTCTGCCATACCACAGACGCACTGAAACACAGTGGCCTTCAGACGGAATTTCAGACTTCAAATGTTGGTTAATGTTGAAACAATCAAACAAATTTAAACCCAGATGTTATCATGAGCATTATCATCTTTCCATATCTAACAATCTCCTCTACAAGAGCACTCATTTGTTAGAAGCTCATATGCAGGCTTTCTGGCAGCATTGTGGGACACAATGTGTCATATAAAACTCAAGTGGAGAACTGAAACAGTCAGTCCATTCATTGTTTGAAAGAAAATTCATCTGCAAAAACACCAATCATGACCTAGTGAGCCAAAACATGCATAATGTAGTTCTTACATCGAAGGAACGAGAGCCTGACCACACACAGAATACTAAAAACCTTGAGTAAGAGCTCCACCTGGGTTCTCTTTTCATTTTTTGATATATCGGTATGTTTTCTGCGTCTATGACGCATTAAAGTCTCAAAAGGATGCTGTAAGACTTACTATGGACGTGTCCAGGAGACGTAGCCTAATGTTTTCAGAGGTGAGGGACAGGAGACAACTTCATGGCTAATTTGTTCTCTGCAACAGCTGTCTGGTCCCCTTGTGTTCATTGTCTCAATCATTGCAGGAGAGATTAAATGCCCCTGCTGCAACATACTACAGACTTTCAGAGGACAGCTTTTTACTACAACTAGTCAAGTTTCATGTTTGTGATAAAAGTTTTACACATTTTCTGACTCAATTAATTTTCTTATTTTATGATATTTGATTCATTATCAACATCACTGTATGTATTATAACCTTTGGTAGTCACAGAAGATGCTGTAGAGATAAATCCTGGACCTTGATGAGGCTGTTTTACAAAAGCAAAAGAAGAGTAAACACTCACCGTCATGATCGACTCAGTGGTCCTTCTGTCCAGGGACTTGGCTCTCCTCAGAGGCGGCAGGGTGGAGGGAAAATCCAGAACCTGACCCACGTCATGCCTCTGCACCTAAACAACAAACGTGCAAGTTTGTCTACATTGTTTTTATACCTGTGTATGGTTAAGTAATTCAAAAATATACAAAATAAAACACAATATGACTTTATGTCACAATATGTGCTTTATGACTATTTGAGAGTCAACATATGAAATGCAGAAATCACAGATGATATTTAGTACGTCATCTGATTTGGTCTGTTTAGGTGGGCATTCATGTATTGTGGAGAAATGTCATGACAACCTGCAAAAAAGAATGAAACCAAAAACACACTGATAGCATGAAGCTAAACTTGCTAACTTTAAATGAGTGTGTATTGTTTGAACGCAACAGTAAGAATGACTGAGCTTGTGTGTTCAAGGTGCAAAAACAGTCTCGACATCTATCTGTATGTGCACGAGATATTTTTGTCTGTGCATAACTGACAAAGATCTAGGGCTAGTGATTAACTGTCCGACTGTGACCCTCATCAGCATGTTGGGCCCTGAAGTTGGGTTTCGAGCGGTTCTAGCCAAGCAGAGAGAGCCACAGAATGGAAACTGGAAATGAATACAGCACATTTTGCTGACCTCTGACCTACAACCAAAACAAAGACAAGACAAAGAGAGGGAACGATGCAGGGAAGAGGGCGAGGGTGAAGGGAAAAGATAGAAGTGCTGGGACAAAAAAGGGAAAAAAAACACTGGTAGGTCCAATACCGAATCTGTTCTGCCATGTGGTGTTGTTTAATACCACCGTTTACAAGTCTTACCAGATCTATTGTAAACTGCTGTACAATGTTGGCAGTAGGGATTTCAGGAGAACTGATACTTTGTGAAAACGTAACAGTACTCTTGTTTTCTACAGCTAGGCTAGTGGAGGTTGCATTGAGTGACATTATGATGCATTCAAGCTCTATTCAGTAAAAATAACATAAAAAGAGTATTTAACTCAGATAAATTATAATGTTATCATGATGTGTTCAAATGTAATCAGTTAAATTTGTAAAAAACAGAATGCAAACAGTAACAAAGGAGTGTATGTGAAATATGTAGGATTTATTGTTGTCTTTTTTGTGAAATTAGTATGAACACAATGTTCAAACTACAAATGTCTGGTATCCTGACATATCACACACACGGGTTACCTCTCTGTGGAAGTGTCTGTGCTCACTTCGGCCCTGTCTGGCTCCACTCCTGCTTGACTCTTCCACCTCCATTTTCTCTGGATTCTCCAGCTCCAAGGCCTCCAACTTCTCAATAACACCGGAGCGACTGCAAATCAAACACACACATACAAAAATCATTTATTATTTATTTATTATTTCTAGTGCTGGGCAAGTTAACGCATTAATTAATTAACGTAGTAGTTGGCTAATCCCAACTACATGATTTGCCTCATTCTACCTCAAAAATTCGCCTCAAAAAACAACCTGCAACCAGATCCGCCAGTGTTCCGGTGTTTAACGTTAATGAGTGACCGCGTGAACTGAACGAGGGGGTTGCATGTTTCATTATGTTACGTTTTTTTTCCTCCTAAATCTCGATAATGACGAACGTTAACAGTCAACAAAGTTTCGCATGCAGTGGACATTACCCTTAAGTAAGAGAGAAATGAAGACTGTGTAGACATCTTAACGCTGATTGGCCAAGACTTGAGACGTCACATCAAAGATGTTCTATTACGAAGATCATGACATAACCTTTTCTGCAATCTGAGAAACGCTGGCTGGCCCCTCTAGGAACACACCGTTATGGATGAACACCATTGTGGATGAACACCGCAACAGACAATAGAAGCTGATACTGACCTCCTCTCAGGGCTGAGGACGGCCTCCCTCTCCTGCCTGTCAGGGCTCCTGAACCGGCTCCTCTTCTCTGCCTTTCTGGCCTCTGCCTCCAGCCTTCGGGATCGCGGAATATCATGGTGGCTGTAGGAGTGGCCGCCCCTCTGGCTGGCCGGGTGGCTGTCGGTGCTGGTCACAGTGCTGCCGCTGGCGTCCGAGTCCAGAGAGCTGACCGAGCCGCTGATGTGTGAGCCGTTAGAGAGCAGGGAGCTGCCGGACGGGAAGGGGTCGCTGGGGGCTGGGGAGAGGCAGCGCGGGACACCACCCAAACTTGAGCATGAGCCTGTTGGGGAGAGCAGGTCACTGGAGGGCTGGGGTGCAGAGCCATGCAGCACCAGGCCACCCCGGTCCACCTCGTTGCAATTCAGTGAACCGGCGTCAGAGCCCTGTGGCGCACAGTCAACTACACGAGAGAAACAGAAGATGCCACAGAACACTTTCATAGCAAAAATCATGACTTTACTTGATTACTTTATCTTTACTGTAATGCATTTTTACCACTTCTACCTCAGCAACATTCACAGCATTTGTTCCCCTTTTTTGATTTCATGTTATTGAATTATAAACTGCTTGATTAAACTGCATTTTTTCAAATTTATAAAAATCAGCATTTCATGGTTGAAAATAGCTCAAACCGTCATCTACTGGTTTAAATGACATGCTTGCTATATTCCAAGCTTGCCACCGCGTGGTGTCATAAGCTCTGAATGTCATGTTTGTCGACACTGTGTCGAGGCTGTTGTCCTACAGAAGTGGGCGTGGTTTAATCTCAGCAATTATTCTTTTTCCAAGATTATGCAGTGGGTGAAGTTAGGCTCATAATGGTATTCCTCCTTACCTGCAGGGGGCAGCGGTGATCCTGGAGAAAGGTCAGGGGCCCAGACTGCAGCCCCCTCAGCCTCTCTCTGGTTCAGCTCCTCCTGCCAGATAATGGAGCTCGAGTCTGGAACCTTCTCCGCCTCTGGAATACCAGAGCCGGTCACTGCCACCTTGGCTGGACCTGGCTCCTTGACATGGACACATGAAACAGTCAAAAACAATGAAACAAGACAAGTGGAACATAAAATCAAGCGGTTGTGTACTGTGTAAGAAGTATTACCTGGGAGGTCGTAGGCTCCACCTTGCGTTTCTTCTTCTGGTTCTGTTTGTTAGTTCGGGGGTATACCACCAGCTGTTCACTCCACCTGGACACAGAGGAGAGTGTTTTTTTACGTGTGTGTGCACATCCTATCCTCCCCAACCCAACAGCAGACACATCTCGACAACTAACCCATTGATGATCTCTTTATTCTCTCCTCTGATGAAGTACTCCTGGTCCGGGATGATGATGCACAGGGAGTTCTTCTGACCCGTCTTGGGCTCAGCGTCTATGACGTCAGTGCAGAGGTTCATGTTCACTGTGCCCTGAGGCAGCGTGCTTGGCTAGAGGAGACACAACATGACACATTGGCCAGTGCATTAGCTTATATTATTTAACCTTTGAATTGAATGAAATTAGTTTACACATGACTCAACAAAGTTTTACAACACTAAAAATATACAGAGCAAAATAATAGCAGTGGAACATAAAAAAGAAAGATACATTTAAACGGTATGCTTGAGTCACTGGTTTGTTTCCCATGTTTGTTTCTTTATGGGTGACTGCCCAACTAAACACTGATATCATTGCTATCACATTTCAAATAGTTCAAACTCAAAGAGAAGATCTGAGGGAAAACATGCCTGTGTGCTGCAATGTTTCACAGCCTAGGCTCAGTATTTTTTAAACTAAATCTCTTCCAATTCCTCATCTGCCTTTCTTTTTGAAAGGCAGATTTCAGCATCCAACGAGCCTGTAATGTATGGGCACTTCATTATCACCAGATCACCATGGTAACTAGGCAAACGAAAAGGGGAGATGGCAGTATTTTGATGCCGGACTAAAGCCGTCTGGTAGGATAAGAGAATAACGTAGAGTAGGGCTGAGGCAGCTGAAGAAATTCAACCTGCCAAAGACAATGATGGCGCACTTCTACAGAGCCATCATTGAATCCATCCTCTGCTCCTCCATCACGGTCTGGTACGCTGCAGCCTTCCCTTGTCCTTGGCTGCAGCGCATCATTCGCTCTGCCTAGAGGGTGATTGGCTGCAATTTGCCGTCCCTCCAAGACTTGTTCGCTTCAAGGACCCTGAAGTGAGCAAGAAAGATTGTAGCCAACCCCTCTCACGCTGGAGACAAACTGTTCGTGCCCCTTCCATCTGGCAGGAGGCTGAGGTCCATCAGGACCAAGACCTCATGACACATGATCAATTTCTTCCCATCCGCAGTCATTAACAGAGCCCGGGTCCCCCACTGGTCACTCCCCTGCACATCCCTTCTAGGTTCTTATTTAAATACACTCGACACTTTTACATTACACTTACATCTCACTTGTTTATAGTCCTGTTATCTGTTTGTTTGTGCACTTTATTTTACATTTCCCTTTATTTTATATTTTTCTGTAAATTTTAATATGTTTCTACTTTGCACTGTGTTGATTGTTAAATGTTATGCACCTCCCGTCATGTCAAATTCCTTGTATGTTCAACATACCATGGCAATAAACGGTTCCGATTCCGATTCCTTAAATTCTCTCTACTGTCCACCAGGGGGCGACTCCTCTGGTTGTATAGAAGTCTATGAGAAAATGACTACTTCTCTCTTGATTTATTCCCTCAGTAAACATTGTAAACATGAGTTTATGTCTCAATCTCTAGTTTCAAGTCTTCTTCAATACAGCATGATGTTCATTTAGTAAATTATGGTCCATTTAGAGTCAAATAGACCATAAAGCAGGGTATGCTTTAGGGCGGGCTTACTGTGATTGACAGGTTGTATACGGTGTCTCTACTTTACTCCTCCGCATTCCAAATATTTTCACGTCCGTTCACTGGTTGCAAAAAAGATTGCGACGGCCGAAATGCCCAACTCAAGGCTTCAAAATGGCAGTCCACACATCAATGGGTGCCGTAACGACGACTATGTCCACTTCTCATATTCAGTCTATGATATTTTCCTATTTTTTAAGAACTTTAGTGCAGGCTTGGCCACTATTACAGTATACCAGGGTATTTAAAAAATCCTGACGGTATGATCTTTAATACCATCATAAAAACAGGTGCTGCACTTTCTATGCTTGATGTGGTGTATTGTAGAGCACAGTAGAGGTCGGCAGAGGTCAGCAGAGGTCGGTCCCTATGGTGTAACAGGCAGCTGAGTTGAGAAAGATGATGATTCAGTGTTTTGCTTGTAGTTTATAATTCCCTTTATTCAACTGCCAGTCTGCCACCACCCACACCCGCTCAGCCCACTGTTGTGTCCTTATCCACTGTATATTAGGGAGGGGGTCAGTATGAAGCCAGCAGTAACTTCACAGCTGGGCACGTAGCAGTGCAGTGTGTGTATAGTTTGGGCTATTTGTCGGTGAAAGAATGCTAAAACTCCTGTGTCTTGCTAAACCCCTGCTCATTAAAGTGAAAGGCATTAAAAAGTTAGCCACGACTTCAGGCATCTTTTACCTAGCTAACCATTACATTGACGTAATGGACATGTAGTGTGATAGCGTCAAGCATTTATACCAATTCAAAATATGCCACTACACATTTAATTATCCATCCATCCATCCAGCTCGCTCTGCTTATCCGGGGTCGGGTCGCGGTGGCAACAGGCCAAGCAGGCTGACCCAGACTTCCCTCTCACCGGCAACATGTTCCAGCTCATTCTGGGGGATCCCGAGGCGTTCCCAGGCCAGCTGGGAGATGTAATCCCTCCAGCCTGTTCTGGGTCTTCCCCGGGGTCTCTTCCCAGTTGGACGTGCCTGGAAAACCTCCAGTGGGAGGCGTCCAGGAGGCATCCTAATTAGATGCCCGAACCACCTCAGCTGACTCCTTTCGACGCGAAGGAGTAGCGGCTCGACTCCAAGCTCCCTCCTGATGACCGAGCTCCTTACCTCTAAGCCTTATCTCTAAGGCTGAGCCCGGCCACCCTACATTTAATTATTATCCGTCTTATCTGGGGGTGTACATGACAAATACGCCTGTAGTGGGAACCGGCACGTGGCAAATTTAGCAGAAGATGGTTTTCTGGTCCTATCGAACGTTCTTCAGAGCTCTTCTTGTTTTGGTTGTTGTTCCCTCTTTGTGATAGAAAAACTGCTTCTCTCCCACATAAATATTGCTGTCACAGCTGATTGTTTCTATCGCAATGTCGAACAAAGTAGGAAAATATATCTATTATCAAAAAAATGATCTTGGTAGTAAAAACATTGAAATAGTCAAAAATACACTGATGTAACTTTTGTATGACAGGATAATAAACGCATTGACATTTGAACCCGATAACTTATTGTCTCATTGAGATCAAAGCAAATAAATCCTCTAAACTTCCTCTCCAAACATCTCTGTGTGTGCTCTGAATCATGCGGCTCTCTTATCAGACTTTGCTGCTACAGATGTAAAACAGGTGCCGAGTCCCTTTCCAGCTCCTTTTAAGGCCACTGAACAGAACCAAGTTCCAGCTTTATTAAGATATGTCTGTAAACCCCCAGGGGTTGCCATATATGGCAATAACATTGCATCCCACTTAAGAACTAAGACGCCGTGGATAAAGAAACAACCTCTTGTTTTAGAATAAGTAGCTGTGTGGAACCCTGCAGTGTGGTAAGTGGTATTTACTTAGATGACTATTACAACATGCATGTAGTACTTTTAGTGTGGAGAAAAGCTGGGACTATATACAGTATGGACAAATCAATTACCACTAATAGCCCTTTTTGAACAGTTCCAGAAAGTATGGAGTTATAGGAACTAAACTATAGGAACTTTGCACATTTCTGTCACATTTCCTCCACGTCTGTACAACTATTAAGACTTCAACAATTCGTTGATTTGACATTCGTTGATCAATTAGTCCACTGACAGAAATGTATCAGCAATTTGATAATTAGTTGTCGTAATTTCTCTTAGCAAAAATGCCAAAGCAACAGTTCCAGCTCTGAAATTGTGACAATTTGCTGCTTTTGTTTGTTTTATGTGATAACAAACTCAATATATTTGGGTTTTAGATTGCTGGTGGGACAAAACAAGACAGTCGATGATGTCGTCTCCTTGGGCTTTGGAAATTCTGACATTTAATAGACCAAACTGTTAATCGCCCAAGGGATACTTGTCACAGTTCAGCTCCACACCCTCCTCACTCTACTTGTCAGTCACTCCCTCCTCATCACTCTAACTCCCTTCACCTGTTCACTCACCTGCCTCTGATCATTAATCAAGCCCCTATATAGACTCCTGTCTCCCAGACACATTTGCCAGATTGTTCTTCGGTTTTCAATGCCAGACTCTCCAGCACGCTCTCACGGACTGGTCTCCTGTTACCGACCCTGCCTGCTGCTGTTTTACCCGCCTTCCTGACTCCCGGTAAACCCACCAGCCTTCTGATCCTGACCCTGTTTAAACTCTGCCTGCTGTTTCTGGAAGTTTGTAATAAAAGCCAAAGATCCCTGGAATCTTGTGTGTTGCATTTGGGTCCATATACAACAGTTACAATACTAATTTAGACTTCAACCACATCACCCCTGAATGCAAGATTAGTGGCGTGCAGAACAAGCCATCCAGCTGCAATGATGACCTGATGCACAAACAGGTCAAATGCAAAGTATGTGCAAAATAGAAAACTGAGTCCCAGTTCACCTGTCCGTAGAGTTGGCAGCAGAGATTCGGACTTGAGTCCCACTCACAGTAACTATCGATTAACTGGTACCAGCTGTGCTTTCTGACTCTTCTCTCCGATAACCAGGTGATACTGACACCCGTTACAAACATTGGAGACCTGAGACTTGACTTGGACTCTAGCTCAAAGACTTGAGACGGAACTTGGACTTGTTAGCAGTAACGTAGCAGTGCAGTGTGTGTACAGTTTATTTGTTGGTGAATAAATGCTACAACACAAGCCAAGTTCCCGTGTCTTGTTGCCTGCTGCTGATTAAAGTGAAGGGGGTATCGCCGAAGTTAGTGACAACAATCCAATTCAATATATTTGTATAGCCCAAAAAGAAACCGTTAACAGGGAAAGAGAAGAAACCTGAGGGTTTTGTTTAAAAACGTAGTAGTGTGAACATGGCCTTAGTGACAAGCTGCTCCTGAGTTTTGCTCACTTTTTATTTCTTTAGCATTAATTGGTCAAAATTCTTACCAACGGTTAACAGTTAAACGGTTAATAATTAACATCCCTTATTGCTCAGTTGAGACAATGATCCGCAGATAATGACAATCATTAGTTGCAGCCCTAACTGAAACAGATTTCTAGCTCTTCAATCCATCAATGTTCCTTAAGCCAGGAGCCTAGCTGTAAAAGGTTTTATTTACCAACTCAACATCATAATACTTTATTTTCTGCAGCTAGGGGATCTAGTCATCTAGTTTGACCCAACAACTACTTAGCACTGAACACTTCCCACTGTTCACACCCACAGTCAGTATGAGACCAAGCGGAGACAAAGTGACGCTCACAGTGCATCAAGGGGACTTTTCTGTGTTATATGTTGCTATTAGATGGAGCCTTGATTTCTTAAGGGGCCATTCAGATGTTGCAGCTTAACACACTTTCATGCTTTGATCCAAGGTGCTTGGGGGGTTGCGCTCCTGCCGTTACTAAGCAACCAAACCTGCGTGCTGAGATGACAATGATGATGAAGTTGCTGTAATTTAGCAGTGAGCCTCACTGACTAAACAAAACAAAGATACAGATTTCCAGCCCGGTGAATTTTTATATTGTAAAAAAACTTTTATATTGTACCTCGACTCAGCACCCTCCATCCCAACTCTTGACAGACAGGAACTGCCAGTCCAGCTTCTTCTAACACTGCCACAATCGAAATACTCAACGAAATCGACAGCGGAATCAAAACAGAGAATACAGTTGGTTACTGTGACTAATGTGTTAGTGAAAGAAATACTTATCTAAAATATAATGTAGATTTGTTTAAATTAATGAAAAAAAATCTTTTATTTCCTGATCATTTGAATTGTGTGGCTTTATGAAAAAAACACTATAAATTACTATAACAAAGTAAAAGGATAACCA